TGAAACCTTCTGAGTCAGATGCTGAGAGCTGAACAGGTAATCAAGTGTCATAACTGAGTTGACTCAGAGATTTGAAACCATGAAGGATGGAGCCCTTGCAGCCAACCTGGTGCTTCTCGGAGGAGCTCCCCTGGCTGATCTTGAAATCTCTCAGCCAGCACCTCCAGCAAGGCCAGGACTGATCCCCTTCCAGACCTCCAGACGGCTGCTGCTGCCTCACTCAGATTTCCAAGGAGATTATCACACTCAGATTTCCCTGAACTCATCTCCTTTTCATTCCCCAGATCAGACGCACGGCCCAGACAGCGATCCAGGGAACGGATGTGCTGCTTCCAAAGGATGCAATTTTTCCTCTCCTCCCCACCCTTCCCCAGACAAGTACAAACTACCCTAAATTGCCCATTATCCCAATAGAAATTCAGGGCAAGAATTCCTGCCAGGTGCCTCAACGTGCTCGTGTGGGACCCCAGGGGGAAAGGATTCGTTCAACCAAAGGGACGGATTTTGGTTGCATTGGTGGTGTCTTGGCCAGAGGTGCAGCCCTTCCATTGCCATCCCAGCTGCTTCCCCCCAGTGCCAGCTCTCCTCTTCCCAGCAAACTGGCACTCTGAGGAACGACCCCAGTGCCAGGGAGGAGCGTGAGGCACAAGGGCACTCCCTGCCCTTGGTGTTTGATGGGATCAGAACTCCAAACCTGCTCTTGATTATTGGCTGCTGTCACTCAGAGACAGCCCCAGTTATAACGACACCAAAGACAGCACGTGGCCACCAATAAAAATTACAGGGATTGATTTTTACACACCAGCACAGCAATAACTGTGATACAGAGCTCCTGTTCAAGGAGACCTTATTAACCAGCCAGTCTATGCAGCAGTAAAACATGAAATTGCACTGAACAGGAATGTAATCCCCACGGACCTTCTCCTTCCCCACAAAATTCTAGTTCAACATCGATTTTTTATGTTGAACAAACACATCATGAGGCTGAAATGAGATAGGTGGATTCATTTGAGCCTTTTTCTGCTTAAAAAAATGCCTGGGAACAAGGTGAGAGAGCCCTGTAATTACTGCTCCAGGATTCGTTTCATTCATTTGCGATGCAGCTCCTTCCCGACCTCCCCTCAGCATCAGCGTTCACATACCCTGAGGATGGGGTTTGGTGACTCCATCTCTGATGGGGCAGAGAGTTTTCAGCACCAGCATGAACTGGAACTCGAGACCCTGCATTCCTCCCTCCTGGTGTTCCCTGTGAGCCACCAGGAGCACGTGAGGACGTGGTTCTGCTCAGCACCTCTCGCTTCCCACCTCTCCTCACCACCACCCCATCCCAGGGAACAGCTCAGTCCCCCTTACTGCTTGGCACCCGTTTTGGTTTAAAACTGCCCAAACAGGAGCAGCTACTGAGGAAGAAGAAGGGGAGAGCGAGGCCCCAGCAGTCCCGTGTCCCAGCACTGCAGCTGCTGCACATCTTCCCTCTGCCAGCAGCAACCACAGACTGATTGCAGAGACAGGTCCCCAGGCTTTTGTTACTGTGTTTTATACTCCAGTGAGTAAATCCATCAGGGAAAACAAAAGCAGCAAGTCCTAGAAAGCACCAGCCATTCCTAACCTGAGGAGGGCAATGCACTGAGCTCTGAGAGCACTGGAACACGAGCAGTGAGAAAAGGGCCCAGGGAGGGACAAAGCCCAGAGCAGCCTCAGTGTCCCTGAAGGGTCATCTTGCTGGGTTGAAAACTGGCTGGGTTTCAACCCATGTTTACAGTTCCCATTCCTGCAAATTCTAGAGCAGGCAAAGCCTTGTTATTTACTATTCATGCCCAAACACACCCCCAGCTCCTGATCCTCTGGCTGCCAGTTGGACCAACAGAACCAGCTGGGGAGGAAACACTGCCAGGACGTGGCTCTCGCCCTCCCAGCCACGCTTCCACCACGGACCAGGACACAAATGGTCCCATCCTGCCCACCCTGCCTGGAACAGCCCCAGCAGAGCCATTTCCACGGGCTCAGAGGGTGCTCGTGGGCACGGGCAGGGGGTTCTCCCCCTCTCCAGAAAACCACCTGCAGAATTCAGCCAGGCCATGGATCCCTCAGACCACACATCCCTCTGCCCCAAAGTGAACAGGCTTCACTTTAAGTAGAGCAATCCTTTCTTTTGTCATTAAAGTGCAGTTTTAAAATGTCTCTCTTGTAAATGTGCCAAAAATAAGAGCATAATTTATTCATTTTCTCTACGTGCATTTTGTTCCCAGTTATCTTTCCGACTATTTGACTGCTGTGAAAAGTTAAAAAAAAGGGGAAAAAAAGGAAAAAAAGCAACTCTAAAGGTTAAAACTTTGAGCCAATTTCAACTTCAACATACATTAGAGCACTGCATTTTTCATTCATTCCTCCTGGTGACATTTCAAGCTTTGTTACAAATCAATCAGCATTTCCAAAAGCATTTGGAGAAGCAGGAAACTATCGTGGCTACAAATCCTACAACATCTATTATTCTTGCCATTTCACTCATTGTGATGAAAAACATTTCAAAGGTTATTTTAAAAGGAGCAAAAAGATTTATTTGAAGTTTGGGGACAGACAGGGATTGCTGTGCAGTGTTTCACAGCACAGTAAACTTTAGCAATACACACAGAATTTATTTCATCACCAATTTGGTCAAGCATTGAAAAGGATGGAGCCTGGAAGAGATGTAACAGCAGGAATATAACGGGGGAATAGGTAAGGTTCCCAAGGAATGCCAGGACTATGAAGTATTACATGTGAGTTGAACAAACACACAGTGCCTTCCAAACCTTCCTGCAGGGCCAGAGAGCAGCATTTCTAACAACATCCTGCAGGTATTTTTCTTCCAGCCAAGCAGGCCTGCTGGTTCCCATCATCCCAAGGGAGGAGGGATATCTGGGCCTCTGAGTGACACTGTTGTGTGAATGGGGAGCAGCAGGAGGAGTCAGAGGGATAAGCAGCCCTTCCCCATCTCCCGTTTGCTGCCCCTTCCCAACCCAGGCTTGGACAGAGCTGCCCTCAGCCCGCAGGTGGGGGTGGATAATGAAGCATGAAGTGATGTGAAGTCACACACAAGGATGCTCTAAGCTGGAAAATGGGAATGCTGTGCATTGTTGTAGGTGGGCTCCCTGACCCTGGGGCAGCTCCTGCAACCACTGCCCCGGGAATGGTTTCATGCTCCAGGAGGGGGGAATGCAGAGATATTGCTGTGGAAATCAAAAGGCTCCAGTTCTGCTTTAAGCCTTCTTTAACCTGTCCAAAAGGATGCTCTCATGTCCCAGGCTGCCTGTTCCCCTTATCCAAACTCAAATGAGAAAGAAATTCCACCCTGCACCTCATGACTCCATGGGAGGGTTTCCCTGACCCTCCTGGCTCTTCAGTCTCTGTAAATCACTCAGTAAATCACTCAGTAAATCATTCTAAATCAATTCTAATTCCATTTCCCTTTGCAGGTTTCATCCTTGCAGTAAGTGATAGTCTAAAACTTGCCATCGAGCTTTGTTAAGTCACACTTTACAAACTCAAATTAAATCCCCTTTTGCCAATACCTTTGTCAGGGATTCTTTAAGGGACCTAAATCACTCACCTGTGACACAAGGGACAGGCATAGCTGGAGCAGCTCCACCAGCAACAAAGGGTAAAATGATAACAATTCATGGTTAGGAGAAAAGCAGATTCTAAGTCTCTTTGCTAGGAGTGGACCTAAATTTAAAAACCCTGCACAGATGCCTCTAGCAGGTTCCTGCTTGTCTTTATGGTTTCATCAGAGCTATTTCTGTTCCAGGATGTTATGCACGTAATAATTTTTTTATTAGGTAGGAAACAGCTTTTATTTGATCAATTTGCCCTATTTTTCTGTTCATGGATTTAGTGAGAGGTTTATCATTTCCCTGGGTTTACTAGAAATTACCTGCCAGATATAATTGCAGTAAATAAAACTTGCTCTGGAGCTCAGGCTCGTGAGGCTCAAAACAAATGCCTGCAATTACTGCGTTTGTGGAGCAGGAGCTCGGGAGAGCAGCAGCACAGGCAGGGAAATTAGTCCAGGGTCTTAAAAAGCACCTGAGGACTGCAAGTGCCTGTTCCCTGGCAGCTGGTCACCAATTCCCTGAGGATATTTGGATAAAGGCTGCCTTGCTGTGCCTCCTCCCTGCAGATGCCAGGCTGCTGGTGGGAGCAGGGCTGTCATTCCCAGGGCTCTGGGAAGTGCAGCTGCTCAGTTGCTCCATGCCCCTCCATCCTTCCCCCCCCAGCAAAGCTCTGCTGTTTCCCTTAAATTCACTATTTTTATGTAACAGCTCCAACTGTCCCTGACACGTTGATAACTCAGAGCCTTCTCCTGCAGGTCCTTTGCCACCTGTTGACAGCTCTGGCTCAGACACACAGGCCTGACAAATACTCTGGTTTGCACAAACCCTGTGTGTGACCTGCAGGGAGGGTTGGGGCAGCAGCTCAGAGCCTCCCTGGCATCCAGAAATCACAGCAGCAAGTTGGATTTGTGCTTCCAGCCCTTGCTTTCCCTCGGGACCCCGAGCCCAGCTCTGGTGCGTGGGGGCAGGAAGGGATAACAGGGAATTTTTGCTTATTAAGAAAAAGATCTATTTTGGTGAGGTGCCCCTGCATTTCTCTCAACACTGTACAGTGAAATGCACACACAAGGAGGGCAATTTCCTACACGTCCTGCTCTGCAATTAAACAAAAAATCCCCTTTAGTGTTATTTCTAATAAACACTGCTTTTAGAGACTGAGCAGAATGACTGGGAAATCCTGTGTGCTCTTTATGGGCTTCCTAAAGCAAAAGCCTCCAGATCCATCCCCCAGCAAGCCCCAGCTCTGAGGTTACATCTCCCTGCACTCACATTGCAATAATCCCTTTTACATTAAAAAATAATGAGCTTCATCTCATTTGCAGATCCTTAAAAGCACCGAGTCCTGTGGTCACTTGGCAATCTGAATGCACATCTCATAAATAGTAAATGAAAACAGAGCTCTCTTACCTTCCCCCAGAAGCAGGGCTGAGAGCTGGGCAGTCCCCCAGGGAAACAGGTTCCTTTCAGGAAGCTTTCATTCCAGAAGGGCTGCAAATCCTGCCCAGGGAGGCTTGTTTGGGGGAAGACAGAGGATTACACTGGACATTTCAAATGTTTGTTCCACTATTCCCATCTTGATGAACCTCCCTAGAAATGTAATTCTTTCTCGTGCTGGAGCAGTGCCAGAGCTCTTGGTAAGACCCAAATCAGTCATTTTTATGGGGAACCTGCACAAGTGCCTGTTTCACCAAAGAGCAAATTGGGGAAGCATCTCCAGCCCAGCAGAACAGAGCAGCTCGCTGGAATGGGCGCCTCAAGGCAGCTGCAACCAGAGAAATGAGATCTGTAATACAAAGCTTGGCCAAAAAAAATAGTCTCCTCTGTTTTCCCCCTTTCTTCCTAATATACTCGTTCACTTCTTTTGTAATAAAAGCTCCCCAGAACAGGCAGTCCCTCATTAGGGATGTGTGTGTTCTGCCAAAGCTGTGGGCCAAGGATGAGGTTACTGCAATAATGTGCTCAAGACATCAAGAATAAATCTATTACTTGATTTAAAAAAAAAAAAAAAAAAAAAAAAAAAAAAACAAAAAAAAAAAAACAAACAAACAAAAAAAACCAAACAAACCACAACTCTAAAGAAAGGCCTTTAGATTTTAATAGATATGAAAACAATTGGATTTTATAGGAGCAGGATCTATAGAAGCTGCTCTTGCAGGCATCTTATCACTGCTTACCGAGGGAGAGAATGCTCTGTGAAGTTCTGTAGGAAATCCCAGGAGTCACAGCTGGCAGGGGGCAGAGGGAGATGCAGGGCTGTGGGAGCTGGGGGGGCTCCTCTGCTCTGGGATTCAGTATCCCAGCTCCTCTGCTCTCTGCATTCACCCCTGGAATGTTATCTAAAAGCAGCACATTCCCTTTGATTGAATTTACCTTATGGAAAAATACCTTCCCAGAGTCACAGCTGCTTCTACAGAATACTCATATTTATTTAGTAAAATAATTGGAAAACTGCTCATTGTTTAGGTACAAAGTCATTTCCTAAGGCCCATGTTTTAAAGTCAGATAGAACAGCCTGAGAACCTGTCACTCTCCCACAATTTCTCCTGGGTGTCAGGAACAGCACAGAAGTGAACCATTGTTTTAAATTATTATGGCTGAAAGAACCCGTATTTTTGTTGTCAGAATCTTGAACTGGCTCTGCCCTGATGCTCCATATGTTCCCTTGGCCCAGATGAACAGATCAGATAAATTCTAATTGATCCAGGTGGGGTTGTGCCCCCACAGCTGCCCCTTTGGAAGGGCTGTGCTCCAGCCTGGGAATGCTCTGGCAGAGCTGCCAGGAAATCACAGGGAGAGAGGAAGAGGGGACTCCGTGGTTTTTGTCCTCGTGGTTAATGACTCGGGGAGGAGGTTGTGCTCACATTAATTGGCTCCAACCTGCAGCCCTGAATGCAGGAACAGCAACCCCCCCTTGGCTGCTGGAGGAGGAGGGTGGGAGCAGCAGGGATGGTGTCACTCCGTGCCGGGGTCCTGCATGGACAGGATGGACATGGGGAATGCTGGGGGGGTGTGCAAGGAAAGGCTGTCCCACTGCTGGGCCAGGAGGCACCAGGGTGAGCAAAGCTCAGGCCTCGTTGCACTTCTATTTCCTGGACAATGGAACTTCTGATTCCAACAGGAATTGTGTTCCACTCAGCGTGCCAGAAGAGCCATCAGTCCAATCTCCTCCCTGGAGAGCAGGAGAATTGTGGAATCATAAAATCCCACAATGATTTGGGTTTGAAGGGACCTTAAAGCTCATCCAATCCCACCCCTTGCCATGGGCAGGGACACCTTCCACTATCCCAGGTTGCTCCAGCCTGGCCTTGGACACTTCCAGGGATGGGGCAGCCACAGCTCCTCTGGGCAACAAGAGCGAAACACACAATTTTTGCTCTTTTTGATTGAACATTTTCTAACCCAAAGGATTAGGGGTGCCCCTGATGCCACCCTGGGGCAAAGAGGAGCAGCTGGGTGTTGGGCACAGGCTCTGTCCTCGCAGCACCAGCCGGGCGGGATGACCTGGAATCGCTGCCATTCCCTCTGGGAGGGAACTGCTGCTGGTGCTGCTCACTCAGACCCCTCACACACAGCCCTGCACTCACAGCCAAGTGCATCCTCAAACATTCCCCTGCAAAGTACACAGGTAAGGGAAGGAAATTCCCATAAACAGCCCCCTTCCCAAGCACAGGGCAGTTTGTGGTGTCTCATTTCAGCTGCAGCCCTTCCCCCCCTGCACCCTGCCCAGCCACCTTCCAGGCCTCCAGGATGCAGTGCAGCTGATTAAATTTGTGCTACAGCCTGGAGGAGGCTTTAATGTGAAGATCAGGGAAGCAATCACGCACCTGGATATTTCTGGATGCCCTCAGGACATTCCAGCCCAGTCCCACTGTCCAAGCTTGTTTGCAGCGTTTATGCAGGGAAGAAATAATGCAGTGAAGAATTAAAGGTGTGAGATCAGGTGTTCTACTCCACCAAGCTCAGCTTTTATAGCCCACTTGGGTGGTACCTGCTCTTCATATCAACTAGTCCAGGTCAACTTTCCTGGCTAACTCCAATTATCCTGGAGAATGGGGTGGGTTGGAAAGGACCTTAAAGACCATTTCATCCCAACCCCGCTGCCAGGAGCAGGGACATCTTCCACTGCTCTGCTTAGAAGATTAGTCACTGATATCAAGGCAGCACATCCCACAAGGTTATCCCAAAGGTGTGGAGCACAGGGCTGAGTATTGATAATTTATTTTTATTTATGTAGGACACGGCACTAACATTGACATTTGTAATGTGTTTGGAGCATTAGACAAACAGAAGGATTTTTGCCTGCTTAGCATTACATATTATGCATCTGTCCTACACTGTGCCAGCTTTCCCTGCCGCTGGATTTTCACAGTGGTAGGAAATAACAGGGATAAAGGGATTAAAAAGCAATGATTTCCAGTAAAGCCTTATAGGACATGTCTGCTATGATCTCAGCTTACTCGTCTCCTCTACACCAGTAAAACACTCTCGTAGTAGACAGATTTATGGATTAAATGCAGACAAGTGTGTAAAATAAATATTTTGCTTATAGCTTCTACACACTTTCCAACATTCCCTGTGATTATAATGGCTTCTGAAGGCTCTTTCCAGTGGGGTGATTTGCAGTTCAGAAGTTAAAATCAGGGCCCTCCTCTGGCTCCGGTGCCAGTGAAAGGTCAGGATTGAAGTGCAGTGTTTAGCAATTCCAAATAATTGTACCCAGACTTCAAACAAGCCACGCTTTGTCACAGCTGCCACTTAAGGTCAAATTGAATTTAAATTATGTTTATCTTTGTATTAATAGAGCTGCAGTTCAGGCTAAGCCATGAGGAACCCAGAGCAGAGGGACTGAGGGCACTGAGGATCTACAGCCCCAGCACATGCACATGGAATGTGTTCATTGACACACTGCAGAGTTCCCTGAATTCCCACTGTATCCACTGACCTCCAGCACAAGACTTTTGTTGTGAGTCGCTGATTCCTGGAGTGAAACGGATTTCTAGCAGCCTCAGATCCCTCCCCACGTGAAGTGACCTCCTTCACCTGCTTTACCTTCACGCTGCTCTCCCCTGGCCACAAACCTTTGTCTCACAGGTAGAAGGAAAGCAATAAAGGAAGGGTTTGGTGTGTTTGTTGTTTTTTTCTAAACGTGCCACTATGCAGCAAACATACAGGCAAAATTTTAAATGTGTAAGTTTCCATGCTGCACAGTAATTTCATTTATTTCATACAGAATCAGGAAAAAAAAAATCCCCAAACCACAATCCTTGAGATGCTCTATTCTAATACACAGAATTGGTGAGTAAAAAGACCTTAGTCTGAGCAAGGAACATCCCACTGGGGATTCCTCTCTAACAGAGCAGCTCTGTGGAGCTACAGATGTCAACTCAATTCCTTCCCAGGTCCAGGAGCTTCAAAGTTAATTTCACACTAAGAAGGTTTCAACAAGCAAGACACAGGAAAGAAATACCCTGAAAAAGAAATATTGAATTCTTTGACACGGCCAAAATATTCATGGTAGAGAAGCAGGGGGGAGGAAAGGGGGGCAGGAGATGGTTTTTGAGCTGGACATACTGAGAGCAGCAGCTGAGTTGGGTGGGAAGGAATAACTCTGCCCAGAGAAGCTCCTTCACATCCTGCTCATAAGGAATTGCAAATTCAGCTCTTAAGACCCGAGTTAAGCCCAGCTCTGAGAGCTGCACACTCAGCCCTGTCTGGGCCCAGCCTGTGCTCCAGGAGGGTTGAGAACAGCAGGTTTTCGACTGGCTGGACCCAGGGCATCACTTCTTGGATCAGGAGATGCAAGGGAATGTTTCCAGGGCTGTTCATCCATTAGCACGTGACAGGAATCGAGTGGACAGGAGCTCCATGCTCCGTGTGTTCTCACTATTACTGCTGGAGTAAATACAAAAGATGTGCTTGCAATGGAGCTCCTCAATTGTCTTTAAGGAGCTTTGGCTTTCTAAGAAGCTTTGGGGGGTTCCTTGCAAAGTGATGAAATGAGATTAGAGTCCCTCCTCATGAAACATTCACACAACAGATCATCTGGGGAAAGAAACATCAACTGAAAGAAAAAGCTTCCCAATTAATAAAACATAAGAGAAGTGAGATGGAATAGCGTGTGAAAGGAATGACCTGCTTTAAAAACACTGCTGGGTGTCATCTTAGCTCCTTATTGCAGAATCCCCCACATAAACCCATCCAGCTGTTCCCATCTGCCTCTATACTGTCACTACCAGGAGGGGGAACCACGACAACCCTGCTGCTGGAGAGCTGCTTTGCTTCTCCTGGAAAAAGAGAGCAATTCCAGGGAGTGCTGCAGGTAGAAGGATCTTCCCAGGACCGAACTGGGTGTGCAGCAGCCCCTGGTGCTGGTGCACTGCTGCTCCCACCCAGGTGCCCTCTGTGGTCCCAACACACGTGATCACATCCCCACTCTGCACCTGCAGTCACTCACCCCACTTGTGCATGCAATTATTATATCTGCATGCATAATTGGGAATGCATTATGCAAATCACCAGTTATTGAGGTAATTGGTCATTGGCTTACACAGTTACTGGTGGGTAATTTGCATGTGCTGTGCTGGTACCTTTCTGAATAAATCCAGCACACTCAGGCAATTCTGAAAATAAACATCCACATCCAAACCCTGGGTGAAGAGAAAACCTTGGTGGCTTCACAAGAAG